TAGATACAGCACATTCAGTTTAATTCATTTCATCAGCTTTAATTGTACGTCAAGTTGACCGAAGTCCTTCTTTTTTTTTTAAGCATTTCACCCCAAGCAAGGCGGGAAGCCACTAGGACGCAAGGGGTTACAGAAAATTTAGAGCAAGATCAGATAGGAGTGATAAAAGACAGGATGAGGGTAGTGAATATATCAAAGCAACTGGGGATGTCGATTGACATTACATTTGAATAGCTGGAGATTATAGCTCACAGGGAAACAAGAATAGGAAAGGGAGTTCCACAGGCGAGAGGTGCGAGACATGAAGCCTTTGGAGTAGAAGAGACGGCTACATTTAGGAGTTTCGACAGTGAAGGGGTGAGAGCGGGATGCCAGCCTCGTAGAGAGCTTAAACTCATGAAGTCTGGGAACCAGCAAATGCAGCTCCTCGGAGCAATTTCCATGAAAGTATTTGTAGAACAGACAGAGGGAGGCGACGCCGCGTCTGTGAGAAAGTGACTGTAGACGAGACGCCAGAGCAGGGCCAATTATATTGCATATCCGCCTCTGGAGCCTATCAAGAACCCTGAGGCAAACAGAAGGGGCACCAGACCATATATGGAAGCAATACTCCATGCAAGGGCGAATTGTTGATTTGTCGATCTGGAGGATCGATTCCGGGGAGAAAAACTTCCTGGCGCGGCTCAGGGAGCCAACTTTCCTTGCTGTGGACGAAGCAATTGACTCAATGTATTTGTTCCATTTCAGGTCAGCAGTCAACGTGAGACCGAGAAGCCGCAGAAATGTTGCTCTCGAGAAGTTGAGCGTCAGACATTCTAATGGAGGGAAGGGAAGGCTCTCTGTGGTGATTAATAGAGAGCAGTTTTGTCTTCGAAGCGTTGAAGTTGACCAGCCAATTCATGCCCCAGTTCACAATCGATTGGTGGTCCTTTTCGAGACGCACGGCCAGGTGTATTTTGTCAGCGAGACTAGATTTGTTTTGAGGCAGGAATAAATTGTGGTGTCATCCGCGTAGATGCCAACTTGAGAAGTTATGGCGTCAGGAAGGTCATTTATGTAGATAAGGAATAGAGTGGGGCCTAGGATGGAGCCTTGAGGAACACCTGCGTTCGTGGGATAGGAACTGGATGAGAATCCGTTGAGAACGACCTTCAATTCACGGTTTGACAGGAATGATTGTATTAGGTTATATAATCGACCCGTAATGCCATAACCCTGGAGCTTGCGAAGAAGGTCGGCATGCCAAACCCTATCAAACGCTATTGTTCTCTCGAGTACAGCCCACATTTTACGAAGGTCTTTATCTATGTAAAATATGTCTTTTTTGTTTTGTTTTTTTTTCTTTTTCTTTTTTTTTTAATTGGTCAGTGGAAAATGTCATGATGCCATTTCTAACCTTAGGTCCCTGGGCGGGACCCGGAAATAAATGTGTACACTCCAGAAATCAAAGGAATTAAAATAATAATAATAATAATAATAATAATAATAAATCTCAGTCCGATAATCGTTGTGGTCTAAGGCTCATTGCACGTCTCGGCAAATATTCATCCATGTGTTGCGTGTCATGGACAGTTATCACTTTCTAGGTCAAACCCCAGCCGATGTCCTACTTGAAGGATCGCTTTGGTCGCAAATCGTTGATCCATCGATGGAACCCTCAACCCTGGATGTGGACTTCAATCTAGGGAGCCCTCTGCCCAGCGACGCCATGTCATCATCGCTATACTACCAGGTGTTAAGTCCCATGTGCAAATTTCGCCTGCAGCCGGTCGGAACTCATTGTAGTTAATGTCTCTCGTCTAAAATTCTCACTGGCAGAAACTGCAGAACCACTGCACATGTCACGTGTCAGATCGCGAGATTTGCTTACCAGAGGCGATGAACTAAGGGACTTTTTATTTTATTTTATTTTTTTTTTTAGCTGGAATAAACGGATCATCAAATACCACAATAATTATTGTTATTGTTTTTGTCAAATGATAAATATAGGAATTAATGGACAATAAATTTAATATATATGTAATAACTGATAGAAAATAACCCTTAAATATTAATATGATTAATTATTATATTTACTATTGTTATCGTTGTTATTGTTATGGCTACTTGTTGTTGTTGTTATCGTTGTTTATTGTAGTTGCTCTTAGAATATTTGTTTAAATGTTAGATCACATAAAATAATCGATTATACATAATAAATTTTAAAAACATTGCAAAATATGTTATGATTAATGTTGAGATGTTGGGAGTGTTTCCGCGTGCGTGTATTCAAATAAAGACAAACAAATACGTAGGGAAAAATACTGGTATATCTGAAGAGGTATTTACAACAGAGTGATTAGTAGTAAAACGAACGCAGGTTAGTCGTAACAATCAGCAAGAGTCTAAAGTCCAACGGTATCTTTTGGTAGAGAGACAGAAGTGTGATGGTCACCTGATCTCTTAGATATCTCCAGAACTCTCTAGCATTGTCCTATATCGTAGAGAGATGATTCCATTCTCATGAGAAGGTGGGTGCGCCCCAACAATTAAAGACATATCCCAACATATATGTTTTCTTTCCAAATAATGCTAAAATAATAAATAAGTGAATATTATTATATCAAAGACATTTAGATCGGCTCAAAGCTTCGCGATCATTCACTTTTCAGGATCCAGATAAGAAAACAGATAAATAAACAATACAGTTCTTTATTAATATTTATTTCATCTTAGTTATTTGAAACAGTTTTTAAATATTTCCAATAATCATTTCGAATCTTTTTAATGATCAAAAAATATTTTTTTTGTTTCTGCCTCCTGTACCGTATTTCACTTCATTCAATTTTTTTCAGTCAGCTAATGTCATAAAACTTTATAACGTAAAATTAAGTCAGATTTCCGTGTGCGGCTCTCTTTAAGCCGTCGATGTTTTTTCCTGACGAATATGTTTAATTTTAAATCATCTATTTGAATCTCAACCAATACCTAGATGGCTAACCGCTTGGACGGTATAATAGATGATGGATCATCATTGTGAAAAATTCAAGAGAATGAGGAGACTTGAGATGTGCAGGGGGTGAGGCAAAGACAAAAGAACAAACAAGGATCAAGAAGAAAGAAAATGACGATTGACGTTGCATTTAAATTTTAAAAGATTATAGTTATGAGGGAAGTTAAAAATCGGGAGTTCCACAGGTGGGAAGTGCGAAAAAAAAGAAATTGTTAAAATAAAAGTGTCGGTTGCATCTAGCTAGTTCAACAGTAAAATAGTTAGACTTATTTAGCAATCTAGAAGCACGCATAAATTCATATAGTCATGACACTAGGGAGAAAAAAAAGTACATTAGAACAGTTACCATGAAAAATATTTGTAGAAAAGACAGAGGGTAGCCATGTCACGTTATTGAGAATGTGACAGATGTCAAGATGACTGGCCAGGATCGATTACATTACAGATCCTTTCTTTGCATTTCGTCAAGAATCTCGTTATGTACAGCAGTAGCGGAAGACCAGATGCAGCAAGAGTATTCAATGCACGGAAGAATGGGAGATTTATAGATGTTCAAGATAGATTCTGGCGAGAAAAACTTTCTGGAACGATACAGTGAACGAAACTTTCTTTGCAATAGACGTAGCAATTGATTCAATATGGTCGTTCCACTTCATGTCAATGGAAAACATGAGACCAAGAAGACGTATAGTGTTGCTCTCCTGGAGGTTAACAACAGCCATACTGATGGCAGGCAATTTTAACATCTTCAGTTGTAGCTCTCATCTTAGGCTGCCCATCTGGCTAATGGCCATACATTCTAACTCTTTTCTTTTCGTTTTCACTTCCTACACTGTCTTCGTGTAACTACTGTGTCTACTGTCAATACAATGTCATCTGCATATCTTATTTTGCTGTGGTTATGTTCCCCAATAATAATTTACGTAATGAATCTTATGGTTTAACGGATAAGAAATCGGAGAACCGAGTTCGAAATTCAGTCGGGTTCGTTGCACAAGTTCGAATTCTAATCGGATTCATTACATTCACTTAGGTGGAAATACACTGAGTAAAGGTGGGAACTCATCTCTTCTCCTCTATCTATGGTTTAAATAGCATGACAGACTGGTTTATATACCTGGTAAGTTTTGTGATGTCAACGAACACTCGTTGACATTTTTGTGATGCAACGAATACACGTTGTCACTTTTATAATGCTCGTTGTAGTAGAGACTTTGTAATCGCAGATACAACTATAGTAACGCCCTTGAACAATACTGGTGTCAGACGCCTTCGAATAACACTCGCACTAATAGTACTTGCTCGAATAGTTACCACCATATAGTGATCCGAATATAGAAATAGTATAGTGAATAGAGTTGAGAATAGTGGTCCGTATATTAATAGAGGATAGAGTAGAAATAGCGATCATTTAGAGTCCCTATATATGCATTTCCTTTATGGTCAAGTGATCCACTTAATACAGTAATGGGATCACCTGTGTTTACTCACTGGGCGATCTATTTTCAAACTTAAGCGTCGACAACGACACTTTTTTTCCTATATAACAGTAGGCAATTAGTCTACGACAGAAAGAAACGACAACTTACTGCGGAAAAAAAGATTCTTCCGAGTCTAGGCAGTCATGAATCGAAAGACACATGATCGGGTATCACGTATGGCGTTTAAATAACTGACTGAATGAATTTAAAAAATTTAAGAATCGTTTTAATGGACATTTTGAATCAACTACTTTGTTCCGTCTCTTTTGCTTTTATTCAGCTTCATTACTTTTCTATATAAATGATTGTGACTTTTATGTAAATGTATAGTATATTAATTTAGACTATTTTCATTGTTCACACTGTTGTCCTCTTTATTGTTACATTCACGACGTTTCAACCTTTCTACGCTCCGGCCTTCTCCAGAATATATACTTTGAAATAAAAGCTTTGGTTGAAATAATCTATTGACTTGAATTGTGAGTTCAATACGTAGCCACAGCAGAGGTGAACAAAAACGTAGAGACTTACGGCCACATCACGTTGAAATACCGGTTCCCGTACGATCACGGGAGTTAAGCAACGTCGATCCTGATCAGTTCTTAGATGGGTGACCGCTTGGAAATACCAGTTTCGGTAGATAGGATGTCTGGGTGGCCTAACGGATGATGTCTCGGTTTTGGAAATCTGATAGTCGAGTTCCAATTCCAGTTGAATTCATTATATTCACTTACACGTAAATGCCATTGACAAAGGTATAAATCCACTTCTTATTCCCCGCCTACGAGTGAATTAGTAAAACGTGTATCATTAAAACCATTATTATCTCCAGAAAGTAAAATTGCGCACAAAATATTTAGATTTCAGCATTAAATAACCTATAGAGGTTGATATGTCGCTAAACAGAAACAACCAAAAAACTTGGACAATCGACTTACTAAAGTGCAATAACTGAAACTGAGATATCCAGAAAAGGCATGGCGCGTGGAACTAGAACAATTTTCTCCACTGGACTAAATAAAAGGTTCGATTCAAAATTCCCACGTACACCTTTGTGCAAATTAACTGAAACAACTTTAGTTTCCTTTCTTTCACCATACGGTCAGTTTTAGACCCACTGGAGTGACAGGATGTTATCGATTTCTATTTTTTCCTCAAATCAGGTCATTTGCAGTGGTGTGCAGTAATATGAATCTATTTTCGGGGTATATGATGAAATTTGTTTGGCCTTGAAAAATATTGCGTCTGATTTTTATCACGGTCAGACACTATTGTCTCGACTGTCAATTAGTCGTCTTACGGCCATTGGACATTACTCTAAGAAAGCATACGAAAATTGTAACGCTGCACGCGTTACCAGTGAGTAAATCAAAGTACTATAGATTGGCCCGGAAACTCTCCTGATTTAAATCCAATCGAGAATCTGTGGTCAATCTGCAAGGAACGACTTCGTGGAATGGATATACGAAGTACTAAGATGTGTACTGGATCATGTTTCACTGGAAAAATACGAAAAAACGTAAATAATAACAGAATTATTCGTTTTGTTTCAAATAATTTACACAAGGGTGTATATCAGCTGAAGAAGGTCGGAGCGTACAATGTCCGCAACGTCGTGAATATGACAGTAAACATGAGGACAACAATCCGAATAATGTAAATAGTGGAAATAGTTACAATACCTCGTGTCAGAAATATATTGAAAATATATTCGCATGCGATTTGTGTAAATTGGAAACAATCCTGAAAATATATTCTTCTTCAATTTTGTTCCAAGTTCCAATAAAATATCATCGATCAACCGTAGAATTCGAGACAGATATAAAAACGGATGACTGACTTGTGCCGATAAGGACACGACCCTTTATTTGGGATTTCAGAGCAACAGTTATACAAAACATTTAAAACGTATATGTTCTACATTCTCGTAAGATAAAAATGGGGATTTGAAAAAGCGAGATGCTTTTTTCTTTTTCTCTTCAGGACATTAGCGATCACGTCTCTCATCATTTCGTGTCTTTTGAAGCTTTAGTAAAATATGTCTTTTTGCTATCTCTCCTAAACACTGTTGTCAATTATTTGCGCAGGCTCGTTAGGTAGGTTACGCTCTATTTTTGTATGTCCCTCTTGCATTCAATATATCCTGTGGGTGTTGAATTTTCTAAGCCCCCTTTCCTCATTATGTGACCTAGAAATTTCAATTGTGTCATTTTCATCTCATGTATAGGTGTCTTTTTTGCTTGCATTTCCTATAAAACTTCGTCGTTGCTCACATTTTCATTCCATGGTATTCTCATCATCCTTCTGTAGAACCACATTTCTGCTGCTTCGCGTTTCTTCTTTACCATATAGAACTTATATTACGTAACAGTCCAGTATTCTTTTATTTGTTTCTAACGAGATTTTCCTATCTTAATACTTTGCTTAGCTTTTGAAAGGCATCACGCGCTATCCCAATGCGCCTTCCGAGTAGTTTGTTGCACATTCCGTCCTCCGTTAAAACACTTCCTAGATAACACTTCTCTAGAACCATATTTCTGGAGTTTCAAGCCTCTTCTTCATAAGGAGATTGTCCAACATTCACTACCATAAGAGAACTTCAGTTCTTTGTATATCAATTTTATCTACTGCTGTAAGTTTAAGATCTAAGTCTTTTATAAAAAAAATCGATAAAACTATAAACTTATAAGTCGGTCTTCCGTTCTCAGTGTTTTTGTTAGTACTTTTTTTAACCCCGTAAGCTTGATCAATAATTATTTTCTCTGTGGAACAACTGTCTCAAAAGGAACATGTATATTTTTCATAAAGTTTTACCCTGAGATTCACCTAGACAATTTAATCAAAATGGCTTCTTTTCTTTTTTCTTTTGGCGCCTTTAACTTGAAGGTGAGCGTTTGTTATATAGAAATCAAATTAAACTCTATCTCCAGGTAAGAACGCAACCTTGGTCCGAGTATACTTTGACATTTATGGGAAAATGCTAATAAAATATTATTCGCTATGTGTTTGTTATTTTCACCTGGAAATGGCTGACCTAAAAGCAAATATCACCAAAAATATTAATAATAAAAGAAAATAATGGCCATCATAAGGGCCATTTTAAATATATAGCTAGCTCCTTTTGCTATCATCTATCGATATTCTGTCTTTATGCAGAATTTTATAGCAACTATATCACCCATCAGCTTTATTTATCATTCAAATATCTTCCCCCCAAAATCCTGACTCGTAGTAGCCACATGCGATACTTACTACAGTCTATAAAACTGCCTTATCTACATAATTTGAGGAGTGCATTTGCAGAGACATCGGTGGCTATTTTTACACTTTGCTTGAAAAGAGATCAGAAATATATATGCGAGGAAAATGTGTAGTTTAGTTGCCAATATCTGAGTGTTGAGAACGTTTGCTTTCTTACCATGAGATCTTGGTTTAACTCTCACCACGGTCGATTTTTCAGAAAGGTGACCATGATATCATCGATCTGGGAAGACGGTCCAAGTGCACGGCACCCCAGGAAAGTACCTGAGACCCATACCACAGCATGGTATTGTGAGTGAAATTGGCTAAATTCGTCGGTGGTTGTGCTATCACAAAGTCACAAGTCATCGTGACCAAGCTAATGAAAGTACTGTCCTTGTTCAGGCTGTTTCTCACGGAAGATAATGCGCTTTCACCCTAAAACTGTAATTAAGGTCAGTTCAGGATAGTTGCAGTATTTTTACACCCTACCACTGATTAAAAGAGATTTGAATGTGAATACTAAATGCCATGCCCTGCACACAGTTCCTGTTTAAGAATCAATTATATTTGTTATTTTCAAACGTGGAAATGACTGACAAGTGTAAATATCACCAAAGATGTCAATATTAAAATAAAATATTGACTTCCCGAAAAGCTATTGTAAACAATATCGCACTTGAAAAATATGGCTACCTCCCTGTCAGCCATCGATACTTCGTCCTATGCAGAATTTTCTATTATCATTATTTTTTATCATTTCACCCCAAGCAAGGCAATAACGCCACTAAGATGCAAGGAGTTACTGAGCGTTAGAGACTATGAGGGAAAATGCTATTAAGGAAAGAGAACAATAAGACAAACAAGAATTAAAAAGATAACAACAGCAATAAACTCTAAGAGAGTTCCACAAATGAGAAGTGCAATAGAAGAAACTGTTAGTATAGAACTTACGGTTACATCTAGCCATTTCGAAAAGAGTTTGGGAATGTTAGAGAATATGAGAAAAACTGATCTCTATTAAGGTCAGAGAACAATAAAAGAAGAATAAAGAAGGCAAAAGATAACGATTGAGATTGCATTTAAATTTTTGAAAATCAAAGTTGATTAGGAAGCCAAATAGAAGAAACTGTTAGCATAGAACTTAGGGTTACATCTAGGCATTTTAATTGTAATATGATGAAACCTATCCGCCAATCTAGTACTGCGCTTAAATTCATAAAGTCTATGTAGCATAGAGGAAAACCTACCCCGTAGTAGCAGCGTGCGATACCTACTTCTTCTTCCATATGAGGTGTCCCTTCAGGGCGTTGGCGATCATCGCTCTCCACAACTTCCTGTCCTATGTAGCGCTTAATAAATTTTCTCTTTTGGCCATATCTTCCAATTTCTTCTCCGTCATCAATTCAGTGAAGCTTGCCAGGTGCATAAAATTTTATTTAATTTTTTGAAGATAATAATGGTTTTAGTGATACAAGTCTTACTAATTAACCCATAGCTAGGGGAGAAGAGGTGAATTCATCCCCTTCCCAAAAATATTTGTTCGAAAATAAATATAATGAAACCAACTGGAATTGGAATTCAGTACTTTGATTAACAATTCCATGACACAACCCACAAATTCAAGCATACAGAACCTAGAACTCCCAAGCGGTACTGACCAGACTCAAAGTTGCTTAACTTCAGTGATCGTATGTGAACGAATGTTCCAGCGTGATATGTCCGTAAGCCGATAAAATCGGCGATATCCACGGTATACATTCCACAAGTAATTAATTTATTTAACATTATATATCTGTGCCTGTGTGTGTGTCTGCGTGCTGTGTGTTTCCGTGTGTGTCGCCTTAGTAACAAAAAAGAGAATAACCACCAAACAAAGTCAACGTCAGAGAAAGAAATAAGAGGGTGACGAGTTTCGGCGGGAAAACAGCGGTCGGATAAGGAACAATGGCGCGACGTAAAGTAGTCCGAGTGTATTCATACGCAGAGAGAAAGAATTGTCGGCGTTAGACAAACTGACAATAGAAGGAAGGGTGAAGTGAGACCATAAACTGGGGGGAAATGTTGCCATAAATAGTGGACGTAATTATCCAGGTTTTTAATGTGGACGGTTATTTAAGAAAATATATTGCTAACCGGGAACGATGGCTTTGTCTACCTTTCTTAACTGTCGCTCTTTTATACGTCCGTCAGACTTCTTTTTCTTTCTGTTATTTTCTCTGTTTTCTTGTCAGATTTTTTCCCTATATCTTCCCGTGTGTTTCTCTCTCTGTCTACTTGATAGACCTCAGAATATTTTGTCACTTTCTCTTTCTCATCTCTCTCTTTCTCGCTCTCTCTCTCTATATATATATATATATGTGTGTGTGTGTGTGTGTGCGCGCGCGCGCG